TTAAAATAATACAATAATTTAAAATTTTACTATAATAGATAAATAATTTTATTTATAATATTATAAAATTTTTTTCTCAATTAATTAAAAAATAAAAAAGTTTTATTAATAACATATATTAATTTTAGATGAAAATTTTAAAGAAACATACAAAACTATATAAAAATAATCCACATAAACTCTACACTTAAAATTAAATGACAAAATGTGATCGATTCAAGATATTCACCAGATTTGGCAATAGGTTTTTATGTAGTACATATACAATTATGGTATATATATAGTTAATGAAATGTAGGTCAATTACAATGGTCACATGCAGGGAGAGGCATGTAACAAATACATGAAAAAAATGAATACATATACATATTAATTTATACATAATAAAGCAAAATTAAAATTAATTTCAATTACTTGTGATTATTCTGTCATTAATTGGACTCAATTATTTTTTATGATAATTTTAATTGAATGTAATTTTTTACGCATATAATAAAATTTAATTGCAATCAATTATTTGGTAGGCCTGCTTAAGATAATAAAAGCATTAGAGAAACACTTCGTAAAAAAATCTCTAATCATCTTAAATCTTAGATCTAATATGCTTAATTATAGGGTAGCAAAGACATTAGCAAGGACTCTTTGCAAAAATACAGCATTGACTTCTTTAGATTTTTCATGTAACTACATCAGTTCTAAGCACTTCATATAAACTATGAGATCTTTGAATCTTAAAGATATATACTCTCGAATGTTTATAAAATTGAATTAACCAACCAATACAATCGAATAATAAGTGCTTCTAACTGTTTGTAAATGTGTGATTTAAATACTGTACATATACAGAAAGCGTATTAACATAAATTGACCGCTTACAAAAATCAACGACAAAGCACCTATATTTATAAATGCATTTATATAAAACAAATGTCAAAAAGATTTAGAAGCGCATCCTTGTAATAATATGTAATATTAATCAATTGATTATAAAGTAGGGTCACCTGTAATGCAAAACCCCTTATATTTATATATGTATCTATATAATCGTATTATTTCACCGACAATCATCTCACCGACAGCTCATTTAACCGACATCACGCCAAGAAACAATCTACTAAAAATATATACCATTAAATAATAAAATACTAATCCTAACCCTATGTAATGTCGGTCAAATGAGTTGTCTTGTCAGAGAAGTAAACGGCACCGATATAATCTCATTTCTTTTAAACTCAGATGAAAACTTAGTATACATTATTGTTATTTGCTAGGAGTTGCTATTTATGCAAGCTATTTCGTTTTAGGCAGGTGTGACTTCGGTACTTGGAGGTAAAAAATTTTCAACATTTTTGGACAAAAAAAAAGAATAAAAATTATTAAAAATTTTATGACAGCCTATTTAATTTTCTGTGTATGCTTTCAAATTTAAATTTACTTATGTATCATATATGTCTGACGACTGAATCAAGTAAATAAACCTGAAATATTGAAGCCAGATTTAATGATAATTGTAGAAATACAATATTATGCGAAAGATATATATTTAAATTATTAGCAAAAATTAAAAACTTAAAGGTTAGCAAAAATTAAAAACTTAAAGGTTAGCAAAAATTAAAAACTTAAAGGTTAGCAAAAATTAAAAACTTAAAGGTTAGCAAAAATATCGGAGTAAAATATGCTTTCTGGGGTATTGCGAAGAAAATTTTTTTATTGATCCCTGCAAAATAGAAGTACTGTGCAATGTGGTAATGATGATCAAAGCTAAAATAATTAATCGTTAATAACTAATCAGAAATATACTAGGTGGTTAATCATGTCCAAAACTTTTCATACTGAACTGAACTTCTATAAGTTTGAGATAATTCGTACGTACCAACAATAGCAAATATTTGACACAAATTTGTTCAACAAAATCTATATTAAAATTTTTGGTGAAATCAGGTGCACATTTGTGAGAGTTGACTTGCATATAAAGTTACTCATATACGCTCATATTTTCTTAAGAATTGGATTGAGATGAATAAGATGAATCCATTTCGAGCATTGCATTTTTCGCCAATAATTATTTGCTTGGCGCTTACAATCGTGACATGTTTTAGCCCTGAACCACGAGTTGGGCCAGCCAGTGTATTAAATGGGAACAAAATCTACTTTTTCGGTGGTAACACAAAAAATCCGAGGTTTACTAATCAAGTATTGTATCTTGATTTATCAAGTTCATTTAATACTACCTCACCTCCGTGGAGTCAAATTACTACTTCTTCAATTCCAATTCCACTTTATTATGCATCACCATGCCTCTCTATTGACAATTCCACAGTTTACTTAGTTGGTGGATTGTCGCAGGACCCACTGAATGCATCAACTCTTATGTTTCCGCCATCATCAGTATATGCATTTAATTTTAATAGTTTACAATGGACAACTCCAAATATTGATAATTTTAATAGTACATTTTTAGGACGTGAATATTTAATGGGTGTTGCTGATCTCGATGGAAAATACTATTTTTTTGGTGGATATGTAACAAATTTAACGGCAACAACCAATTACGCTTATTATAATGATACTAATATATTTGACACAAAAGCTATGAGATGGACAACGTTAAATTTACCCAATCCGCCACTTCTTAGTGAATTTTATAGTGCTGTGATGAAAGATAAACTTATATATTATATTGGTGGGGCAACCCCAACTAATGTTTTTGATTTAAATGAGGTATTTTTGATTTACTTAATTAGCGTTAGTAAAGTTTTAAAACTATTTTTATGCAATAGCTAATCGAATTAAATATTAAAATCAAACAGATTCCAGTATTTGATACGACAGTTTTAAAATGGTTATCTATGGTACGTTTTACTCATGTATGTAAACATGATACATTATGCTAGCGAATTTTATAATACTATGACGTTGTTTTTATAGACGACTCGTGGAGATTCAATTGCAGCCCGCACTGGACATTCAGCTGTTTTAAGTAAATGCTTTAATAATAATAACTATTTGTTTTTTTAGTTAGAAATTTACTTATTTATTTTTTAAACAGCTCAAGATGGTCTTATTCTTATTTATGGTGGACAAGGAATCAATGGCCTTCAACCACAACCTGATGTTGCCCTATTGAATGTAAATTCATCACCGTATACTTGGACAGCTATTACAAATAAAGCACCACAAGTACTTTCGTATCATTCAGTAATATTATATGGAATATATATGATTATTGCATTTGGTAACAATATTATTTTTGAACCGAATTTAAAATGTCTTGATTTGTGTTTTTGATTAATCCGAATATAAAAAACCAGTGAACTTCAACTCACTAATGTTTTAGTATATTTCGGATTAATCCTTTTGGCGTGCTAATTTGCGATAAGGTTTCTAATTTAATTATTTAATTTTATTCTATATTTAGGTATAGTTATTACTCCACAGCCACAACCAGCAAAATCACCACTGATATTGAATAATCAATTATATATCTTGAATACGCAAAATTATACATGGGTTAACACATTTGATGCATCAAATATATATGGATCTAATTCATTGCATGGATCTAATGTAACATCTAATAATGATTCAGGAGGTTCAATTTCATTAGGTGCAATTATTGGTATTGGTGTAGGTGCAGCAGTTGCCCTTATTATCATAGGTGTTGTAGGATTTTTCGGTTATAAAAGAATTCATGCTCGAGATAATCGTCATTCTATTGCAACTCCTGGCACATTATATACAGAATATATGGAGAAGAGTTCTCATTATAGTTAAATCACTATCTTCTTATATGTGCACTCAAGTTCTGGATAAAATATACTTGATTCACACAATAAGCGTTTCATATTCTCTAAATGTATATTATAAGTTCGGTCCCTATAAAATGCATTTAGAGAGATCTGACAGTATATAATTTATTATGTATTTCTTTTATCATTATATACAATACATGATGCAACTGTTATCAAAGATTTTTATATTATTTTTGTTATTTTAGTAATAATTTCGAAAAGGCTAATTATTCTTTACATTATATAATAGTAACCTAATATAAATGTTAAAATATTACATGTATTTCCATGCATGTATATTATTTTAAAAGATCGATTTATGCCTATGATAAAAATTAATTTACGTAAGTCAAAAAAAAAATAATGTCCATTTACGTTTGATATTGTATTTTTATGTTCTATTGTGCTATAAGTAGAGATGGGACACTGCTCAGCATTTTAGAAAGAATGCGCAGTGCAATTTTTAAAATTTGGGCCAGCTATCATAATTTTGGTCAATTTGCATAATACTGAACCAAATAATTTTTTATATATATTGTGCTCATAGGCAGAAGTTTGTCTGATTGGCTAATAAATTCAATTTAATTTTACATTATTTATACAGCTTAGAGTCTTTTTAAAAAATAAAAACCAATCATAAAAGTAATAAAAAAAACATATAGAAGGTTTCATTAGAGCTGTAGGACTCCATAGCCAAAAATAAGATCTAATTCTCGTCCGTTTA